TGCACACAGCACCAGTCTCAGGCAGAATCATTCATGGTACCCAGACCCATTCCTCCCCCCTTGCCTGCCCAGAAAAAGACATAAAAATTATTTTCTTCCCCCTGAGCCTTCACATTCCTTCCTCTTCCTTTCTGCAGAGAAACACTGGGTCTCCGTAGGCCTGTGCTGAGCCTCTTTCCTAGTTCCCGTGGTCCACACCTCCCCCATCCCATGCCCAGCCACACACTCCACCTTCCAGAGGCTCCCCGCCCTCCAGGGAACCTCGAACTTTTGCTTTCCACTCACTGTTATAGCACCCTTTGCGGAAAGGACCTCAGAACAAAAGCCCAGCCCAGCCCAGTCCAGCTAAAGGAACACCATGTGCTCAAGTTACTCATTGCTGGAGTTAGAGGAGGCCACAGAGCAGGAAGCACATGGGAAAGCAAGGAGAAAGGTGGCAGAGAGGATGGGGAATTAGCCAGGGTGACCTTCCAAGGGTATCAGTGTGGGAAGGTGGCAAAGTCATAGCAACAGCCCCAAGGTTGGATAAAGTCAAATGGAAACAATTATAATTAAGCTAGCTACTTAATGGCTCTTGCTATGCACAGGCACTGTGCTTAGTTAGCACTTTCCCACATCTTGTTTAATCCTTGCAACAATGTCGCACTCCACTTTTACAACCCAGGGAGCTGGCCCTAGACAGAACAAGTGACTTGCCCAAGGTCACACAGCCAGCAAGGTCTGAAGCTGTGAGTGTTCATGCAGGCCTGTCTTGCTCTACACCAGGTGGCTCTTTGTGGTGATGCAGTTAGATGGGTGACATCTGTACCGTAGATGGTCTAGAGCAGCTCGGAAGGTGGAATCTGCACAGGGTTCCCGAGGGCTGAGATCCTGTTCTCCATTGGCAATGGGGGGCTGGGTGGAGGGAACAGGGAGAGTCCTCAGAAGCCTAGGGGAGGCTGGTTTAGAATGAGATGATGCTTTGGCTGTGAAGGCAGGACCCTCAGGAGTTGTCAGAGTTTACATGCAGGGGAGGGAGAAAGAGCAAAGCTGGGGAGCTAAAGTTTCACAGGGAAGGGGGAGGAATATCCCCCAGAAGAAGACAGTAGGTCAAGGACAAGAGGGAAAGCTCATCATGGCCAGACACAGTCTACTTGGCATTTGCTATAGCCTTAGAGATCCAGGGAGCTAAGACAAGGCAACTCTTTTTTAAAAGACAAAATGGGGGATCTAATTAAAAATCAGTCTCTCTGAGCCTTTTTCCACATACTTTGTTTTACCACATGCTTCTACTGGAAAAGAGAGAAAGGGAGAGAGAGGGGCAAAAATCATGGTTGGGGATTGGAAGAGTGGACTAGGGGAATGTGCACAGGTGGGGCCCCACCCCCTCCCTCAGCCCCTCCCTACCTACTCCACCTTTCCCCCCACCCATCCTTTCCTGCTGATTCTGCCCTCCTGCTTTCTTCCCTCTTACAGGTAGTTGGTGTCCAATAAACACACGCCCTTGCAAATGACCTGTCCTGCTGGAAACTCCTCCGTGAGGTAACTTGTCGGCAGGGGACTGGGCATCCTGTCTGCAGGTGCAGCCTCTTCCTGCAGCTCTTCAGCAGCTGGGCCTTTGCCAACGTAAACATTGCAGGGAAAGAGGGAGGTGGGCGGGGTGGGGGGTGTCTGTCTCAATACACTGCTCACAAGGTTGCCCTTGAGGGAGCCCTGCAAGCAGCAGCCCCTTTGGGGCTGGTTGGATAGGTGGCTTCGGCTTTCCTAGATTTCAGGTATTTTCAGGGTTGCCCAGGTCTTGCAGGTGGGCCTAGAGAAGGATTCCTGGGAAAGCACATTTTATTCAGTTCCAGCTTGTCCTTAGACCTGCAAGGTTGACCTTGGAAACAGAAAGGTGCCCAGGACAAGCATCCCTATTGGGTAATTCTTGGACACCTGCTGGGAAATCTTTTCCCCACCGGCTGTGTTGCCCCTGGGATGCCCTGGGGCTTCTCTGTGGTGACTGCAGAAGCACCGAGCCTTTTTCTGCTGTGTCACTGCCTGGAGAGGCACGTGTGAAGCCGCTCGGGGTTCCGTGGAGAGGGAGGGAGATGAAACCAAGGAGTCTGGCTTTTCAGCAACAGGGGTAGGGACAGGAGAGGGAGCGCATGCCTAGGACTGCCCCAAGCCGGCCTGACATTTGAGCTGGGTCTCCCCAATCCCTTTCGTCCCGGGGATTTCACAGCAGAACGAAGGGGTCGTAAAGGCCTGTCAGTGAGAATACCAGCCGCCAACTGGTATGAAGGAATGTCCTGCGTGGCGGGGTCACGGGCACACGTGGTCGCCCGGGGTCTAGACTAGCGGGAGCCGCCTTGCCGTGCGGTCGGCTTCCCAGGGAAGGCTCCCTGGGGGCTGGTCGGCTGTCTGCACCTTCCAAGCCCGGGGGCCCGGCTGCCGCTCTGGGTGCGTCTGGCAAGTGTCCTGCTTGAGGTGGTTCAGGCCGCCCACTGGGCGCACGGCCGGGCGGTCAGGAGGGACGGGCTGGAACTTCAACCTCGGCGGCGGGGAGCGCCGGGGGCGCGGCAGGTGCAGGAGCGGGGAGGCGGGGCGGAGCTGGGCAGAGTCCCCGACTCTCAGGCGTCCCGGAGTGACCTTCCCCCAGCCCGCCCGGGCGCGGGAGGGGTGGGCCTGCGGCAGAGGAAGCCGG